TCAGACACACCTGGGTTTCCCGAGTCAGATTCCACTCCACTCTGGCCCCTGGTCAAAATAATAATCAATAAATGTCCATTCCCAACTCCTTGCCCTCCCTGTCTCCACCATTTAGAACCCCCTGCCTTTAGGTGAAAGGATTGTTCCTTATTAAAATACAAGTGCTTCTGAGAAGCATCTGAAACTTGATAGCTTGTTCAGACCTCTGTGAGTCCTGATGGATGCGATCATGTCCACCTGACACCTGGTGCGAGCAGCTTTGGGTGGGTAGGAGTCAGGGAGGCTTCCAGAGAGGGCCAGTGTCCCCACTCGAGAGGAAGACCTTCAAGACAACATGGACAGGCAGGAACAACAGGTGTCACACTGAGACGGTCACTCAGGGAGGAGTGTAGACCTGAGGATGGCCGTGGCCTTGTGTTTGGTCAACTCACTGGCTGACCCTGATCATTGGCACTGATCTTCGAGGATGGCCTCCAGTGGAATCTCATCTGTGGATGGAATCCTTCCGGTGGTAGGCCTGGGATCCTTGCCACTAAGTGAAGCAATTGGTCAGGGCCGTGGCCTTTCTTGTACTCACAGTGGGCATCTCTTACACGAGCCCAGCATCCTGAATGGTGGGCCAGCCCTTCCTCTCGCATCTCTCCCCGGTTCCATGGCTCCGGAGTCGGCACCGTCTCTCCTCTGGCCTGAGGCGATCATCTGCTGCCCTGCCTTCTTCCCCGGGGTCCCTTCATGGTTTGCCACCCCAACCATGTTCAAGTGTACACTTCTGTGATATAATTTCAACCATACGCTGCATGGTACCCGTTGGGGCAACATCTGACTGCTGATCTATCCGTGGCCATATGTCAGAGTGCCATTCCAAAGCCCCAGCATCCATGTTGTTGTAGTTGTTGTTGTTGTTAGGTGCTACCGAGTGGGTTGCACTCCACAACAACCCTGAGCACAGCAGAAGGGAACACGGCACAGTCCTGGGCCACCCTTATCATAGTCCCAGTGTCTGAGCCCATGGCTGCAGCCACGGTGCCATCCAGCCCCTTGAGGGCCTGCCTCTGTCCCGCTGCCCCTTGACCCAGCCCCATAAGCCCTACTGTTTTACAAATCCAAGGTTCATGATAATAAACAGGAGACTTTGCAACATACACCAAAACATTATTATTGTAACAAAAACAAAAAACATCGTAGTCATAGTGCCCTGGCATTTTTACCTTCATCTTCTCATATAAGCATTTTTTATAGTTCCTTACCTTTGGGAATATTTTAAATGACTGTAATTATTTCACAAGTAGATTTAATATTATAGTTCACCAAATCACTATCATTGAATTGCTTTTGCTATTTTTTTTTCTCTTTAAAACAATTCTATGATCACTACTTGGGAAGTAAAAGTCAAGGTGTCACTTTGAAGTCTAAGGTGTGCCTGAACCAGGCCCTGGTATTCTCAGTACCTTCATTTGCTTAGGAGAGCTAGACAATGAATAATGAAAACCAGAATTGACACACTTGAATTGCAGTGCTGGAAAAGAGTATTAAATATGCTATGGACTGTCGGACGAATGAATTCATCTGTCTTGGAAGAAGGAGGGCCAGTGTGCTCCTTAGAAAGGCGTACGGCCTCTCTGCGTGGATTGTGATAAGCGTTGTATGAGCCCCCAGTAAAATGATTTTAAAAGGAAAGGAAAGGAGGATGTCAAGACTTCTCTCACGTACTTTGGACTTGTCTTCAGGAGGGACCCGACCCTGGAGAAAGACATCGTGCTTGGTAAAGTAGAGCGTCCACATGAAAGGCCCTCCACCAGACAGACTGACGCCGTGGCTGCAGGCCTAGGCGCAAACACAGGACTCTTGTGGACACTGTGGATTGCGGCAGTGTTTCCCTCCGTTGTGCCCTGGGTCACTGTGAATCGGCACTGACTCCGTGACACTTAACAACAGCAGCGATGAGCCTGTCGGACACACAGCTAGAAACTTAACTCACAAGGAGTGTACAGGGCATCAGGCGTGCTAGCCATGCTCACAACAGTGGCGAGAAGCGGTACTGGGCAGGCCAGGGGTGCCCCCCGTGGAGAGGCAAGGGCACCTCCCCACTCGGCCAGAGAGAGGGCATCATTAATTTTTCAAATCGGACAGGAGCGTGGGGTGGGAGCCTGGCCAGCTGCCACTTCACGTCCATTAAACCCTCTCTAAAACGCCTGACTTGATCCTTCTGGTTCTGGCTCAGGTCTTTTTACGAGGCTTGAAAAAGGCTTGGAAGGATGCAATAGAGGTGAGCTTAGACCACACCCACGCCCTCTACCTAAACTAGGCTCCGCAGCAAGGCTGATCATTTGGTGGCTCCAGTGAGTTAGGGTGCTGATCCTGCCTTCCTGGCAAAGAGCACCCAGAATTTCCTTCGCTGCCTCTTCGTTGGGCCGATGGTCCTTCCACATGTGCTCCGTCTTCTCCCAGTATCTGGTCTTCGAGTCTGATGATGCGTTGGCTCTCAATGCCAGGTTCAGTCCACCTCGAGCAGGGGCTCTGCTCTGCCGCGCCACCCCCACGGTGTTAGCTACAGAGCAGGAGGAACTAGCACAAGCTACAAAGTTGGGCAGCCAAGTGTCAGGGCTGCTTTTTCCAGTGGCTCCTTTGCTGTTCCTTCCCCCTCCCTCCCTCCCGCCACATTGTGCCCTGATTTCAGCCGCACATCAGTGGTACATTCCGTATTTCTGTACTTTTCTTTCTCTCTGCCTTAGTCGAAGTCCCTTGGTGAAAATGTATCAGAATCATCAGGAATCGCGTTTCAAATACGAGCTGAAGGAAGCGGGCGGGAGTGCGGGAGGAAAACCCAGACGTGTCACAAGCCCGCTGTCATCAAGTCCATCGGACTCCGAGTGACCGCCTAGGTTTCCGAGGCTGTCAGTCCTGATGGGGCGAGACAGCTGCCTCTCCTGTGGAGCAGCTAGCGGGCTCCAGCCACTGGCCTTGCGGTTAACAATCATCTTAAGGGTTGAGTAGCAAGTAAGCAAGTTTGTGCACATGATTCCCAAGCTCCGTCAAACTCCGAGGGAGCAAATATCTGTCCCCATTTTACGGGTGAGGAAATAGATCCCCTAAGAAGTGGTCATTCTGAGCCAGCCAGGGTGCAGCATAGCACTGATGAAACCTTCAACATTCCTCTTAATGCTTCTCCCCTGCACGCACGCCCTCCCCCACCGATAACATGACCCAATTCTACCTTACAAATCCAGCTAGATCAGAGCATGTACACAGATACAGATAAGAGCTGGAAATACAAGGAATTCAGGACAGATAAACCTCCAGGACTAATACTGAGAGTAGCGATACCAGGAGGGGAAGGGGAAGGCAGAACCAATTACAATGATCTACGTATAACCCCCTCGTGGGGATGGACAACATAAAAGTGGGTGAAGGGAGACATCAGACAGTGTAAGACATGAAAAAATAATAATAATTTATAAATTATCATGGGTTCATAAGGGAGGGGGCCCGGGAGGGAGAGAAAAATGAGGATCTGATACCAAGGGCTCAAGTAGAAAGAAAATGTTTTGAAAAGGATGATGGCAACAAATAAGCTTGACACATGGATAGATGTACGGATTATAAGAGTTGTACGAGCCCCCAATAAAATGATTTTTTTAAAAAGAAGAAGAAAATGTGGTCATTTGCCAAAAGCTATTGTTAGGGCCAAGAAGTGAATTGATTGTCTGTCCATACAAAGACAGTATGGGTGGTGAAGTGAAATTTTTAATATGGCTCTTCTACCCTTAATCCCTTTGATGATATGTTGTAAATTCCAGCCTGGATGGCTGTGGTTATCATTCTACTTGGGAGGGAGTTCTCTCTTATGCTAATAGGCAGGATTAAGATAGGATGTATTCCAAGCCTCTGCCTCCCCAGAGGGGGTGAACCAAGCCATTTGAGAAGCAGGAAGTGAGCGGATTCCTGGGACCATCAAGCAGGAAGAGACCACAGGGAGGGTGGCAAAGGGGACTCCAGGCTAAGGCAAGGAGACCACAGGTCGGGCAGCGGAGCAGAACTGAGACCATGAGACAGTGAAGTAGAGCAGCAGGTGGTCTTCCTGGCCCAAGGAGGCAGCGATCAAGAGACTGAGCAGTTGACAACCCAAGAGAGAGACTTGACTACTGGCTGAGGAGAGTGTAGCTGAGGTCAGTGACTGTCCCTACTGCTTCCTGTCCTGACTTGTTGGAACCTGTTAACTTCCTCCCCCCACCCCAACTCTGAGTTTTGTCTGTGAGCTCTGGGTGGCCAAGGCCACAAATTTGCAAACCCAGCAGAATAGGAGAGCACAGTGGGAGGAGTGGTTAGGGTCAGGAGGTGGATTCTCCTTGTCCCTTGTGTATCCAGACGCGTGGCCTCTGCATGGCGGTCGCAGTATGTTCAACCGCATACCACCGATCCAGGAACTCTGCCTCTCGTGACGGTCGCATCTGAACTGCAGAGAGAGACCACGGACAGCCGTGATTTCACGCACCTTTCAGACTTTGCACACCCCAAGTGAGACTCCCGCAGGTGCTTAGTCATCCTGATTCTGACACAGAAGTCACTGTACAGAGAAACACATTTCTACGAGGCTGATAGTAGAGGAGTCGCTGATGATGTCTGAATTGATTAAGATGTCAGTCATAGAGCATTCTTTCAACAACTACTTATTAGTGCCAACAGTATACCTTCAGTTGGCTGGTAGTAGTAGTGAGTGAGTGGCATGGCTCTCAGGATGGCTGCAGTCGGGCTAATGCCTTTGGGCTGCCGGGAAAGAGCAGATGGTGGGGAGGGGCAGTTGGCACAACACTGAAGTAGCCCGGCTCTCTCTGTGCCCGGCCAGGACACCATGAAACTGTAAGGCACAGAGAGGGTTCTCTATGTTGTGTTCTCCATGGCACGCCCATGTCCCCTAAGTGTGATTCCCTGCTTCAACTGCTGGGCAGGAGACAGAGCCCTTGGGGGGACCAGCCACCTCACTGCTGTGTTTTCTCTCTTAGGACATCAGCGAGTGCATTCTCGAGAACTATCCCGAGTGCTCCAACCCCAGGCTGTTTTACATCATCCCGTACTTTTGTGGACAGCATCCCAGATGCAGGTAAAGACTCAGGCCCTACCAGGCTCCTGCACCAGGCTGGCCTGGCCGGCGGGGTGCTGGTGTCCCTGGCCTCTTGACCTTCTGGCATTAGTCAGTGTTGACTGTCTGTGTTCATGAGAGAAACACATCCAGAGACACTCATCTGTGTATAAGAAAGAGCTTTCTATCAAGACGTAATTATTTATCAAGAAAACATTCTAGCCCAGTCTACCTCAAGCCCCAAAGTCCGAAACTAGTGCGCAACTCCCTCTTCAGACTCTGGCAGCCGCATGCCAGTGCAAAACGCAGGAAGATCACAGGCCAGTGGGTGCAAAGTCGCACCGATCCAATGGCCGTGGCTCTGGCAGCCATCAGGGTTGGTCTGCGGAAAGGTGAAGGCAGCGAAAGAGGAGGGGGTCCCCAGGACCCTCCTTATGAGAAGGCCACACCCACGAAGAGGCACCCTCAGGCTGATTGACAGGTTGAGCACCACTCGTACACGTTTATAGATCTTCGAGTCGACATGAAATGATGTACCTCCCACACAGTCTACCTCTATAGCTCTCAGGTGAGACTCTGGGCCTGGCAGAGCGATGAAATCAACAAGCATGGTCTTAACTACAGTGCTTCCACCAGGCCCCAGGACACGCCCCTCAACCTCTTCTGTGGATTTCAAGCCTGCTGGCACTACCAACTAGGAGCCTCGGTGGCCTGGTGGCTACTCATTAGGCTGCTAACCACAAGGTCAGCAGTTTGAAACCACCCGTCGCTCTACAGGGGAAACGTGAGGCTTTGTACTCCTACAGAGTTACTGTCTCGTGCCCTTCCCCATCCTATAAGGTTGTTGGGAGTCAGACTTGAGTTGGCTTTGAGTGTTAACTGCCGGAGCCTCTGTTCTTCTTTCAACAAATGTTAAGGAAGGACTGACTGAGCCCAAGGCCCAGGGCTGGGCACTGGGCCCAGTTAGCTAGCACGGGGCCCAGGAGGGGGGGACACTGGACGGAGAGACCTAGGGGAGGCTGTGGAGGAGGCCCTGCGTGGGCTGCTCCCTGGAGGAAACTGGATTGGCATGTGTGCAAATGTGTCTGTGTATGTGTGTGTGTGTGTGTATGTGGGGGGGGGGTTGGGGGGGGGTAGGTAGTAAGGGTGAGCTTTTTGGCCCACTGTGGCTGCATTTCTCCAACCAATGTCTGACTTAGAACTGCTCTTTCTCTCCACCAAGGGAGCCTGGTGAGTGGGCCCTTGAACGAGCGAAAGTGAACGTGAATGAAAACTTCCTGCTCGTGGGAATTCTGGAAGAGCTGGAAGACGTGCTGCTTTTACTGGAAAGATTTTTACCTCATTACTTCAAGGGTGTGCTCAGCATCTACAAAAACCCAGGTAACGCCTCCTGGGGCGCTCGGGCCCCACTCACAGTCCTCGAAGGGGGCTCTGGAGGTCAGGGGGCGGGGGCAGCCTTCCCTCGCCTGCCTGCAGACCAGCCTGATGGCTGAGCAGCAATGGTTGGAGCCTGAGGCACGGATCCCAGAAACTGGAGCTCCAGGTTTCCAGGGCTGGGGCTCCCGGGTCTCCTTTGGGAAATGAAAACGGACACCCTTGTCCAGTGCCATCTTTGCGCCGATGTACCGCCGGCCCTCAGGGGCACACACCCTAGCTGTTCAATAGACACAACAGCGGACTGAAATACAGTTTTGATTTGAGTGTGATCAATCCAGTGATTTCCAAACTGAAGGAGGAAAATAAAGGGGGTGGGAGGAATGCAGCGAAGCAATTCAGTGGGTTGCTCTCTCTATGGTCACAACTCTAATTGCTTTCGGAAAGCCGCCATTCAAGCTCCGCGCTGTTTTGTTTCATCTTGGGAGGAAGCTGAGCAAAGTGCATTCCCTTCCCGCCTCCTAACCAGCTGCCAGGACAGTTTTGCCGACTTGTTCCCCAATCTGGTTCTGGTTTGGTTTGGGTGTCCTGGAACTTGGGGGCGCAGGGGTGGGGGCTTGTAGAAATGCAGCCTCCCGCTGGACGTGAAGTCCACAGCCCAGCAGGGCCCTGGAGCCACGCCTCCCTCCTTGGCTGGTACCAAGGCCAGCTCAAGAGGGTCCTCCCTGGAGCTGTGCTAGAGGGTGGCCTTCCCTCCGTCAGGGATGGGCCCTGATGAGGAGCCCTGGTGGTTAAGCCTGTGGCTGCTAACCAAAACGTTGCTGGTTCGAAGCCCCCCACCTCCCCAAGCTGTTCTGCAGGAGAAAGGTGTGGTGGCTGCTTCTGTAAAGATTACAGTGTAGGGACCACACGGGGCAGTTCTGTCCTGTGCCTCAGGGTGGGTGTGAGTAAGAGTCCACTAGGTGGCCCAGAAGAGCAATTTCAGAGGAGCTACGGCAGAGGGTGGGTGCTGCCTTCCTCTCCCAACCCTATCATTCCACCTGCCGCGTGGGAACCCAGCTTGAAGCCTCTGGACACACCTGCACCTGTGTCGGCAGGGTGGGAACTATGGTCTGAACATCAAAAAACGTGATAACCCCGACCGAGCTGGCTTTGAAACTAGGCCTTCCCATGCCCTTTAAACCAGAACGTAAGGAGCCAGTCGTTAGCTCTGGAGGAAAGAGCTTATCCCCAATCAGACTGCGTGGAAGAAAAGGGTTGACTTTTCTCCCTCTGGAGAAAACGGACTGTGTAGCGCGGGTTTATAAGGATGAGCAAAAATAAAAATGAACACACGCTGGGCCCGGCGCTTGGGAAGCAAGCATATCAGATGCAGGAGGCCCGTGAGGTGCCAGTGGTGAAGCCCTCAGCTGCTAACCGAAAGGTTGGGGGTTCGGGTCTTCCCTGGGCTGCCTCGGATGAAAGGCCTAGTGACCTGCCACGGAAAGGCCTGGGGAGCACAGCTGTAGCTCTGCATACCTGGCCAGGCATTCAGATCCACCCAGCAGCACTGGCTTCTCACAGAGCCCCTCGCCCTCACCTGTCCTGGCACGTGGAATTAATGCCCTTCCCAGGAGTCATACCCCCCCCCCCCATGTCAACTTCAAGAGGCGATGGGCCTGAGCCCCTAAATTGCTTTTCAGAAATTGTCATGAAGTTGGTGCACTATGGTCGGCACGAAACCTGGGACCTTAGCCAGTTTAAAGGCTCCCACTCAGTGTCACATGCACAGAGCTGTGCGGGCGTCACCACCATCCAGTTCCAGAATATTGTCATCACCCCAAAATGAAAGCCGGTACCCACTCAGCAGTCACTCTCGCTGCCTCGCGCCCCCCAGGCTCCTGCAAAGCACTAACGCAGCTGTGGCTGCCTCAGCCTCTGGCCAAGTGCCTGTGTCTGCCCGAGGCCACAGATCACCCAGTTAGTGGCAGATCGGTTAGAGCAGTGGTTCTCAACCTGTGGGTCGTGACCCCTTTGGAGGTCAAACAACCCTTTCACAAAGGTCGCCTGATTCATAACCTTAGCAAAATGACAGTTATGAAGTAGCAACGAAATAATTTTATCGTTGGGAGGGTGTCACCACAACATGAACTGTCTTAAAGGGTCGCGGCATTAGGAAGGTTGAGAATCACTGGGTTAGAGGAAGCTAACAGTCTCTTTGGTCAACTAAGCCATAGCTCTGCCTCTACCCTTCCTGGCCACCTCTTATTCGGCCCTAAAAACCTCGTATGAACGAGTTTCATAGCTGAGTGATTGGAGAAGGAAGAACATCTAAAATCCTAAGTTTCGGAGTGACTTTGTCCTTAGGTTCCAACTCCTAATAGCCTGAGACACTGCCCGGTCTGTCCCATCCTGCCCAACCTTTCCTGTAGTGGAGCCTGGAGTTGCAGCCCCTGGGCTGTTCTGTCTCGTTGAGCAGAGTCCTCTTCTCTTGTTCACTCCCCTGTAGGTTCCCAAGCACAATGTCCTTCCCCAGGGACTGATCCTTCCTGATAACATGCCCGGAGTACATGAGACCAAGTCTTACCCCATGTGTCTAAGGGACCCTCTGGCTGGCTGTCCATCTTCTTACACTGGTTTCTTTGTTCTTCTGGCCATCCATAGATCAATCACTTTCTTCGCCGAAGCATAGCTCAAAGGCATCTTATGCAGTGTCTACATTTCTCAAGCATGTGTGTGATTGAAAATACCATGGCTTGGGTCAGGCCTTACCACCTTAGTCCTCCAAGTGGCCTCTTTGCGTTAAAAGGCCTTTTATAGCAGTTTCACCCAATGTTTGGCTTAAATCATAATTTCTTTAGCAGCTAAAATCATCATAAAAACCCAAATAAATAAGCACATTAATTAAAAGCAGGGAACTGCCCTCATTTGAACCTCCCACGTATAAACCCTCCACTGGGCCAGCGACCACGCTGTTCTGGCTCTGTAACACCACCTGGTGTCCAACGGTGGAACTACACAAGCTGAAGCTGACCTGGCGCTTTCCTTCTTTCCAGGAGACATGCCCTCTTATTTTAAATTCTTCCCGTCACTCAGCTCCTAGCATGACACCAGTGTCCCTTTCAACCTGTTTCCACTACAAACTTAAACATCAGGACCCCATTAGGGAATTTACTGGACTTTTGTGGGATGCCCTGAGAATTTAGGCGCCGAGGATCCCAAAGAAAAGGCTTGCGACCACTCCCAGACAACTGATTTACAGCTGCTTTGGGAGGTCTCCGTCCGTTCAGAAAATGGGGACTTTGCTTCAACATATAGTTACTTTAAATACGTTTTTTTCCTTTTCTTTTAAAAATCATTTTATCGGGGGCTCGTCCAACTCTGATCACAAGCCATCCATCCATCGTGTCAAGTACATCTGTACGTTTGTTGCCCTCATCATTCTCAAAACATTTGCTTTCTACTTGAGCCCTTAGGATCAGCTCCTCAATTTTTCCTCTCCCTCCCCACCCTTCTCCCTCATGAACCCTTGATAATTTACAAATTATTATTATCTTGTCATGTTAATGTAAATACTTTTATATGCAAGTGTGACGAAGAGACAAAACCACCAGCTCCTCCTTAGTAGATTTAAGAGGCTGTCTGCTCCCAGATTTACCATCTCAAAACCCTATAGAGGGCTCGCTATGAGCCAGAATGCAGTCAACGACGGTAGGTTTTTATGTACCCAAATGATCCCTATACTCGCCTTAGAAGTGTCGTCGCGTACTCTCGGAGTTCCAAGCCGCGGGTCTTTGTAGGGAATGCAGTCCCTGGAGAAGGATGCCATGCTTGGTGAAGCAGAGGGGCCGCACGCAAGAGGAAAGCCTTCAACGACATGCATTGGCACCGGCTCTGCGTCAGGGGCTCAGGCCTGGGAACGGGCGAGACTGGGGCCAGCGCGGGCAGTGTTTGTTCCTGCCGTGTGGGGGCGCTATGGGCCAGAGCCGACTCGAAGGCAGTGTTTGTTCCTGCCGTGTGGGGGCGCTATGGGCCAGAGCCGACTCGAAGACAGTGTTTGTTCCTGCCGTGTGGGGGCGCTATGGGCCAGAGCCGACTCGAAGACAGTGTTTGTTCCTGCCGTGTGGGGGCGCTATGGGCCAGAGCCGACTCGAAGGCACCTAACAACAGGCAAACAGGTGAGAGGATGCTATCAATGACTTTAGTAGCAGGGATCGTTCAAATACTAGGCTATTTGAAAAATTCACATTCCTATCCGCCAGGGAGGGGTCAGACGGAGTTAAAGCATATGCTGACTGATTGAGACTTGGCATGTTTACAAGAAAGAACAGCTGCTCATTGGGGAAGGGACACTGAATTGGGAGTCAGGGGGACTTTCAGTCCTTCCTCTCTCATGGTCTTACCCCTGTGTTCTAGGACATGGTGGGGGGGGGGGGGCGGTACTAAGGTCTCCTGCTTGTTGCTCTAAAGGTCTCCGCAGTTAGATTGAATCCTGCAAAGGTCTCTCCGTGTCAGATTGAATCCTGCAAGTCGCGTTCAGGGATGTGTCCGTGGGCAACCGTGGAGCCTGTAGCAGATTTTAAGGCGGCTTCTTCCAAATCTGGTTGCCCAAAACGAAAGTCATCCTTGGACCCCTTGCCTTGGTCATTCTCCACGCTGAGGAGACTTCTGCCACCTCGAGGGCACACAGACTCTCTCCTCCCCGACAGCCTGGTGGTCTTGTCACCAAGCAGGGATCCCACCTTGCTCCAGGCTCTCTGGTCGTGATGCCCACCCCTTTCCCTGCAGACCACGTGCATTGCTGCCGGGAAGCTCATAGAGACCGGTGCACAGCCTCGGAGGAGAGACGATCTGGGTTTCGAGGCTGCTGCACCGCGTCGTGACCCTCTCCAGAGGTCTGCCTCCTCTAGCCTCACATTCCCCATCTACAAAAACAGGCCACTGCCAGCGAGGCGATGCCGACTGAGAGCGACCGCATCAGCCAGGGTCGAAGCTGGCCCTGTGGGTTTCTGAGCCCCATCTTTCTC